TATTTACACTTTTTCAGATATTTAGCTTTTTGGGCCTTTTTTTCTCAATAAAATTAGTAGTATTAACCTGAAACATCACCAGCTCCACTGCATCCCACCCTGTACCATGTTTGACCCCCAGACACCCCCCCCCAGCTGTCTTGACTGAGCGAGTGGTTTTTTTGAGCATATGATTGTGTGTTTCTGTGTAAACATAGGATCAGAGCATCTTTTTAAACTCATCTTTCCTATTGTGTGTATCCAAGCTACAAAAGGTTGAGCGACCATGTTGAGAAAGACCTGAACATCCGTTCTCCTCAATGTTTATGTGTGTAATGAGGATGAGTGTTCTGAACTGCAAGTTCCTAGTCTGTGTTTATCACTGACAATGGCAATAAAACTGATTCTGRTTCTGAAATAGAGCTGTCTTCAACATCTTTTAAACTCGTTCAAATTCGTATAAATCTTTATCTGGTTTTGCTTTCTTTGAAATCAATTGCGCTAATTTCAGCTATCTGTAGCTTCTTTTTTATATATTTTATCTATTTTTCTAAACATTATTCTTATCCTTTTTAGCTACTTTTAGCAGTTTTCAGCAATGTTTTTCCTCATTAAAATAAATGAAGCTGTCTTGAACATCCTTAGATCTTTACTGAACTTTTAGGTTGTTTTTTTTTCTGGTTCTGCTTTTTTAACTTAGTGCTAATTTTAGCTTATTTTTTGCTACGTTTAGCTTTTTCAGTTTTTATTCTGCTGTTTTTAGCTACTCTTCTGTTAATTTAAACTTTTTTCTTCTTTCAGCTGCTTTCTGCTTATTTTAGCTGTTTTCTACTCTGAGTGGCTTCATAGCTATTTATAGCTAACTTAAGTGTTTTCCAAAAACACTCACTTTTTAGATATTTTTTAAACAATTTTTCTCCCAATTTCAGTGCTTTAGCTATTTTTTTAAGAAATAGAAACTTTTTTTAGTCAGCTATCTTTCTAGTTTTTCTGCTTTCAGCAAAAGTCAGCTGTTCAAATGAGACTCGTTAACAGTTTAAAGGTTCTCAGCTGGTTTGGTAAAACTTTAGCATGAAGCACCGGACRGTTAAACTTTCCTGTTACACATTTTAATCTTTATATTTATCAGCGAAGAGCCAACAGACGGTTTGACCAAAAGCTTTGAAACAGATTTGTTTTTGTTCTTCCAGAGTTAAATTTACCTGCAGGTAAAAACCTCTCAGCTCACCTGATGTTAATCACCTGTGAACAGCTTGTTTACCCGTCAGTGTTTACTGCTCCTCTGTAGCTCCTCTGTAGCACTTCCTGTTTGTGTTTACCTGTGAAGTTGCACCTTGTTCCTCAAACACACACATTGTTTTCATCTGAACCCCGRCAGTGAGTCATCCCCTCATGTTGTCGTACATTTCTGTGTGTGTGGCTGAGCGGCAGCAGCTGAGTGTGAACGTCTGTTAAAGCAGGAAGCAACAGGTCCTGACTGAACTCTCTGATCTGACAGGTTTACGCGTTGGACATGTTGGACATGTTGGACGGTCAAAGGACATGTCTCTAASACCTCAGGTGGTTCTGAAAGCTTTTTCTTAAACACATGAGGGTCGTTTGTCCATCCTAACAAATATCTGTTGGATCTGGGTGATGACGTGTGGTTTTACCTGCTGCTGAGGATGATGATGATGATGATGGGCTTTGTGACGAGGCAGGTAATCCACGGCGAGCGGCTGGATGACGCCGGTGTCTCTGAGCTCAGTAAGCAGATGGAAACTCCGTGGATTAGCTCTCATAAACAGACGGTCAGGAAAGTAGCTCTCATCAGAACAAAGTCAGAACGCTCAGAGGAGGACCAGGCAGAGAGGCAGGAGTTTTTAGAGCTGTTGTCAAATTTAAGTTTTTATTTGTTTTGTCGCGTTTTTTCTTTTTTTYTTTTTTKGTCTTAGTAAACTCTGGTGTTGGAAATGACGGTCATCAGAATCTCTCAGTGAGTTTTTTTTTTAGGAGGTTTGTTCGTTAGGAGACGTGAAAACCCTCTGGACTAAAGTTTTTGTTTTGTTTTTTCTCCTGCAGTGTTCCCACRGTTCCGGTGAAAAACCTGAACGGATCCAGTCCAGTCCACCCGGCTCTGGCTGGTAAGAACCTCAGAACTCCCACTTCAGATGAAGCAGGACACTTCCCACCTCGAACTGTTTTCCTGTTTTCCTCCAGGGATCACTGGAATCCTGATGAGTGCTGCTGCTCTGCCCGTGTGTCTGACCCGGCCTCCGAAACTAGTCCTGCACCCCCCACCYGTCAGCAAGAGCGACATCAAACCGGTGCCCGGCTTCAGCCACTGCTGCAGGAAAACTACCAAGAAACAGGCTCGGAAAGGTAAAAACGACCAAAACACTGGGTTAAAACAGGAATCATCAAGGAAACAGGCTCTGAAGTGTTATAAGCAGCCTCTCTTTACCCTGCCCATCTTGATTCTGATGTTTTTGCTCAGATTTGTCCCATATGGGTCATAAAATCATATTTCAGTAACTTCAGCCTGCAGAGTTAACGTAGTTTTAGTTTCTGCATTTTTATCATTCAGAAATATCAGCTGATCCCACAGATCATCCAACTCTTCTGTTTCTGTCTGCAGGTAAAACTCCAGAGGAGGTGGTGAAGAAGTACCTGCAGAAAGTAAAAAGTCCACCGGAGGAGGTTCGACCCGTCTTTGTTTTGTAACACAAATGCCACAGCACAGGTAATTTCTCCAGTCTAATCAGCCATGTGTTCATTTCCTTCATTTGTTCCAGGACTGCACCATCTGCATGGAGCCTTTGGGGGGGCCGTCTGGTTATAAAGGTCCAGGTGTGGGTCCGGTTTCYAAGGCGGAGTCAGTGGGTCGGTTAGCCCAGTGTGGACATCAGTACCACTTCCAGTGCCTAGTGGCCATGTATAATAATGGCAACAAGGATGGCAGGTAAAACAAATAATGAATAAATATTCCACCTTCTTTTTTTATAGGGACGTATCGATACACTAAGATATCGCCATGTTTCATTTCCTGATTCTGTATGGATTATCAAAAGCACTGTACTGATTTCTAATTAAGGGTTAGATCATATTTTCTGCATGTAATACACGATGTGCTCTTTGTACTGAGCTTTTTAAATTAGAATCTTTTGGAGATCACGATATATTGAGATTATGTATCRTATCACCAAATTCTTGCCGATACTCAGCCCTAGCTTTTTAATTGTTCTCAGACTGAGAGTTMATTTTTGTTTGGTCATCTCAGTCTCCAGTGTCCCACCTGTAAAACCATCTACGGCGTGAAGACGGGCAACCAGCCAGCAGGGAAGATGGAGTACCACGTCATCCCCCACTCTCTGCCRGGTCACCCCGACTGCAAAACCATCCGCATCATCTACAACATCCCACCTGGGATTCAGGTATGCCTCTGGCTCACAGAGCTGCAGTTACAGGTGTGGAGTGTGGGAGACCACTAACCTGGACCCTCTTCCTTCAGGGACCAGAACATCTGAACCCAGGGAAGCCCTTCACTGCCAGAGGCTTCCCAAGACACTGCTACCTCCCAGACAGCGAGAAAGGACGCAAGGTAAACGCAACATCTSTCCGTAAGATGAGCACTTTTACTTTGAAGGTTTGACTCTTCAAAACAAAATAAAGATCTGGTTTTATTTGATTTTAAACYATGCGTTAGRCGGATAAAATCCAACAGAAAACTAGTGAGAGTTCTGCTGTTACTGGATCAGGATAATGCTAACCTCTGAGATGGCACTGTTTGTTCTTTTTTTTGTATTTCTTATTTAAATTTTGTTAAATGTTATTGTATATATTTTTCATGCTCTTGGTTTGATGTTTAGTTGCTAAAATGCTACATGCTAACACACACGTTGCCTGACACAACCAGCACTGCTTGTAAGACGGGATAGTTTTTATTTAGTTCCGTCATTTTAAAAAAAATCAAAGTTTCACATTTGTGAATTTTTATTTTTTGGAGGAGACTAATTTAATGGAAGCTTTTGGTCTGCTAACGATTTCAAAAATGAGTGAAAGACAAATCTGCTAAATGATAAGCTAGTTCTGCTATTAGTGGGTTAGCGTAACTAGCTTCTCATTTAGCGGATTTGTGTTTTGCTAACTTTTGAAACCGCTAGKGGACCAATAGACTTCAGCTAATAGCGGGTTAGCAAAACTTGTGTCTCATTTAGCAAATTAATTCCTTGCTAACGTTTGAAACTGTTAGCGGACTAACAAATTTGGCTATTAGTGAGTTAGCATAACTAGCTTCTATTTAGTGGATTCGTTTTTTGCTAACTTTTTAAATCGTTTGCGGGACAACAGACTTCTTCTATTAATCGGTTAGCAACACTGTGCCCACCCCTGCTGAGTTTTGATTTAGTTTTTGGTGGTCGGCAGGTTCTGAGACTGCTCCTGGTGGCGTGGGACCGCAGGCTGATCTTCTCAGTCGGTACTTCGAGCACCACAGGAGAGTCGGACACGGTCATCTGGAACGAGGTAGCGTCACTCTGACAGATGACATGAGCGGCGGATTTAAAGAAGACAGAAACTAAAAACGAGCCGTTTTTCTTTCTTTCTTCTCCGACTCAAGGTTCATCATAAAACCGAGTTTGGCTCCAACCTAACGGGCCACGGCTTCCCCGACCCGGGACACCTGGACAACGTCCTGGAGGAGCTGCGYGCTCAGGGCATCACAGAGGAAGATGCACTGGTAGAAAAGTGAGACACCTGAAGGGACTCGCAGAGGAAGAGGTCCTGGACTGAGGAGACACCCTGCCAGCACTTAGATCTGGTGCCAGAGGCTTGTTTTTGCAGAGCTAACCACTCTCAGAGATGATAACCGTCAGCGCTGGCTTCGCCTTTCGATGCAAGTTTGTTCAGACGTCAGTTTTTCAAACCACCAGAGGAGGAAGAGGAGGAGGAGTTTGTAGTTTTAGCTACGAAAAAATATAAATAAAAATGAGTGAGAATGAGTTGGTACTAACATCCAGAATGAAAACAAGTTAACTTTACTGAGAGAGAGTTAAAGATGGAAGAAAAGCAGCCAAATAATGTGAGGATTAAAGAGAAGTGATGAAGGAAGAGGAGGAGGAGTGAAGAAGGTGAACGGATGTAGTTTAGGATAGAAGCGCAGTAAAAATAACTTGTCTGGTACTTTTTCAGGTTCTGGTTGTCCCATCTTTGTTCTGCTCACCTGCCTGTTTGTGGTGCTTCTGCGCCCTCCGGTGGCACTTCTGAGGTGCTGCAGTTCAAATCAAATACTGTTAGGTTTTTGTGTGTGTGTGTGTGTTTTTACTATAATCCTCATTTAGCATCGTTTAATTTCTTACCTCCCACCGTTGGTTTAAAAATGGTTGAACTCGAGCTAGTTATGGTTTTATGTGAAATGCCAAAAAAGCCAAACCAGGACTTTGGGTCAGAACTGAGTCGTGTTATTGAGCCACTGTGGTACACGTTCGCTCCGTTTAAAAGCACTTCACTGTGTTTCACAAACATTTCAGAACAAACGGGTCRTTTCTTTCTGATCTTATTCAGTCTGTGATGTTCTGCCTTTATCTCGAATAGAAACCAGGTCAGACAAGAGGAAACTGAATAAATGATCTGATCAAGTTTAAAGTCAGAACACAAAACTGCATTTTTAATCTCCTAATTAGAAAAAAGTTAGTTTTTAACTCTTTGGAGTTGACAAAGTGAAAACAGTACGAGATATTAAAGGTACTTCTTTAAAACTTGTATTTAGATAAAAATGTCACAAACCAGTAGCTCAAACTTTCAAGTTACTGACAAAAAAATCTAAGTTTCCTGCAGCATTTGAACACACCATCATGCTGCGTTTAATGTCAGCAGGATTTTTATGTTTTCGTGTTCAGGAGAGTTTGCTGATAATTTGTTGAATGAAATGTTCGAGTCTTTTTCCTCTTAACATCTGAGGAGCAGGGTTCAAATGGTATCTGCAGAGGATTGTGGGTAATGTAGTGTTAAACCCCATCTGCCTTTCTGAACTCAACGATTCTGGTGAGTTTTACCTGAAACAGGTACGTGGAGCTTCTGAACTCTTATAGATGCACTTTTTTTAAGACAAAATATTMCAGAGAGACAGAGAGTGGGAAAATTTTAGGTACTTTTATTAAACGACTCAGTTTTTGTGTTTCTACGTCTTTATTTTTTTTCTACCTCTGCTCTGCTGGGTTTCTAAAGCAACCTGAATTGTGACCTGTGTGTTCGGAGGAGTCATTCCATTATTAAGGGGTTATTTTGGTAAGTTTTATCAGAATGACATCATCCTTTTACCAGATTGTGAAACTTTCTCYACGTTTTGATGGAGAAAAACACCTTTTTTAAATAGCATTTTTCTTAACACAATTATAGAATTGTTTTGTTTTTGTTTGTTTTTTCACCCCACATTTTGTACATTTATGTTGTATTAATTACACCCATTTTCAAGTATGTTTACAAAGACAGTATTATTAAATACAGTGTCTTGTTTTCTTTTGGTACAGAATTAAAGCTAACGTTCATCTTTTCTTTGGAAAAGGAATTTCATGGTAGACTTTTCTCTAAGTGTGATTTTCTTAACTGAAAGTCAAAGTCTTGTATTTTTATTGTTGTGTAAGGTAAAAGGATGCTTCTTTTTCTTTGTCTACATATCACCTGTTCCTGATGCTGTTCTGCCCAGAAAGTTTCACGAATATTGTGATGCTGAAAGTTTTTGCAGCAGATTTTTACGGTAAAATGTTTTTTTTTTTTTGTTAAACTTTAACAGAATCAGCTTGTGTCAGACGTTTTGTTATTGCASCATAAAATACTTGTACACATTTTTACTCACTCTCCATCAGCTGATTTGAACACTGTGCAGCGTCTGAGGCTGCGATCGAGACTGTTTCCAAATGTTGGTTTGTTTTTCCAGCACGGTTTCTCGTCCCCACTGAAGGCACTGTCGCCTTTAAAGGTGATTTGTTGCTCTTCAGGAGAAAATGTGATCGTAGGTGCTAGTGTACAAGCATGGAAACCTAATAAGCAAACGTGTAAATATGGCAAAAATAATTGCTGGAGTATAAWTGATTAAAACAGGGAAAATAAAAATAAAGAATGAAACTGGACAGAGTTGTGTTTGTCAGTTTAACAGAGGAAAGCCCAGCTGTGAAGCTAGCGTTGTGTGACACTTCTGCCTTCATAATGGGTTCTTTCAGGTGATACAGTATCTCCATCCACTTCGATAGGTCAGTTGGTAGAGTGGAGGACTGTAGAGGCTAATGCCAGAAATCCTTAGCTAGACTGACGAGCTGCTGCGCTCGTTAGACGACGCAGAATGGGTGTTACCTGTAATAAGTTGCTGATCTTCTTGCTGATCTTTAAAGAGAAAAATGAACAAAATCGTATTTATCCAGGCTGGAACCTGAATAAAACCTATTTAAGAGTTGACAATATTTATATTTTAATCTATGTATATTATGTATTATAGTTATTATTTAAAGTCTTTATACTGACTGACCATAACATTTAAAACC